TGTCCCCCCGATACAATGAGTCATTAAAGAAACTTTGAATTGATTTTTAAAATTATATATATATATATATATATATATATATATATATATATATATATATATATATATAATTAAAAAAATGGTTCACAAAAATGTATATAGTTTGAAGGGTGTTACGCCGGCTCTTTCGAAATACACAAGTTACCCATACGATATTTTTTTCAGTTTTCTTCAATGCCTCATTTCTTACCCGCGTTTTCTTTGATATATTTTTCCCTTGATTAGCTACAGCTCCTCTTGTGTGTTTGTCCTCTCAGTTGAACGGATAAAATATCTTTTGTTTTCCATGTTTAATCTTGAGGTTTAGTATATTGTGTGTGTGTGATATTGTAAATATTGTGTTGTTGTTATTGTTTATTTGCGCTGTTGGTTCCTGCCCACTCCTGGCTGACGTGTGGTTGTTGTTGTGGTTGTTGTAGTTGTTGTAGTTGTTGTAGTTGTTTATGGCCGCTGTGGTTATGGTCACTGTGACGGTAAACACGGGACTCTTGCCTCTCCCTCCGCCCCCCTCCCTCTCTCTCTCTCTCCCCCTCCCCTCTGTCCCTCTCCCCTCTCTCTCCCCCTCTCCCCTCTCTCTCCCCCTCTCCCCTCTCCCCCTCCCCCTCTCCCCTCTCTCTCCCCCTCTCCCCTCTCCCCCTCTCCCCCTCTCCCCTCTCTCTCCCCCTCTCCCCTTCTCTCCCTCTCTGACGAAGCCGGATGTGTTCTTAAACACTATTCACTTCTCCAGATGTTGGTAATTATAAAGGAGCCCTTATGACGGGCAGCAGTTCCAGAGACTAACGACTGCTGTCTGTCTCTCTCTCGTGCCACCAGGTAATTACATCACCTCTCAAGGATTCGCCAATTAAGATAAAAGAAGAAATTAGGACAAGAGCCACGAGAGCCAGAGGGGCACTATAAGAGCCAGAGTGGGGTGCCCACAAGAGCCAGAATGGACTTAAAGGGGAGTTATATTGTCTTAAGAATCGTTACTTGGGTTTATAAATGTCGTTCAGATGTTTTCCCAGATTTCCATATATGGTGTTGATGCTCATCTGTTTGTTCTTCTCTGTTGTTAGTGTTGGAATAATATCCACTCCTAATTGTTACTGTTACTGATTCTTGCAGTTGGCTTCCTGTTGTGTGAAGTTCCTTGTGGTCAGTTGTCTTCCCATCTTCACTGTTGTGTGAAGTTCCTTGTGGTCAGTTGTCTTCCCATCTTCACTGTTGTGTGAAGTTCCTTGTGGTCAGTTGTCTTCCCATCTTCACTGTTGTGTGAAGTTCCTTGTGGTCAGTTGTCTTCCCATTTTCACTGTTGTGTGAAGTTCCTTGTGGTCAGTTGTCTTCCCATCTTCACTGTTGTGTGAAGTTCCTTGTGGTCAGTTGTCTTCCCATCTTCACTGTTGTGTGAAGTTCCTTGTGGTCAGTTGTCTTCCCATCTTCACTGTTGTGTGAAGTTCCTTGTGGTCAGTTGTCTTCCCATCTTCAATGTTGTGTGAAGTTCCTTGTGGTCAGTTGTCTTCCCATCTTCACTGTTGTGTGAAGTTCCTTGTGGTCAGTTGTCTTCCCATCTTCATTGTTGTGTGAAGTTCCTTGTGGTCAGTTGTCTTCCCATCTTCATTGGTTGGGGGGATGACTTTAGCATTTGTCTGCCGGTTCCTGGAGTAGGTTTAGGTCTTCCTGTAAGTCTCTGAAGAGGACTTTGATTGTTACGTTCCTCCATAACTTTCTCAACATTGACATGTACCGGCTCATGTCCTCGGCCAGATCAGTCACATGATTCAAGAACAATAGTATCCCTCCACTCTACATCTCTCATTATGACTGTCCTTCATATAGTCCCTTAGTCAGTGCCCTGTTATCCCACCTATCCCTGCTTCTCCATCTTATCCACCAGCCTGCCATTACCAACAGTATCGAGTGCCTTTCGACAGTCTAGGAAGATGCAGTCTACCCAGCGTTTAGTTTACTTTCATATCTCAGTAACCTTATCATCGACATCGATAAAGTTCGTCATGCATGACTTTGTTGGTCTTCCGTTACTAAGTGTATTCTCCATCTCCAGGTGTTCCATTATTCTCATTCTAATTATTTTGAAGGCACTTGAAGGCAAGGGGACCAGGTTCACGAAGCAGTTACGCAAGCACTTACGAACCTGTACATCTTTTCTCAATCTTTGGCGCTTTACATTTAATGAGCTGCGAAGCACCAGGAGGCTGTTTATAACAACAACAACAGATGATTGGCAAGTTTTCATGCTTGTAAACTGTTTAATAAATGTAACCAAAGCCGTCAAAGATTGAGGAAAGATGTACACGTTCGTAAGTACTTGCGTAACTGCTTCGTGAATCTGGCCCTGAATACTCGTTAGTGACAGTACTAGTTAGTGCTCTTAACTATCTGTCTGTTATTACTGGCAGTACTGTGTACTCACCTATTTGTGCCTGCAGGAACGAGAATTAGCTCTTTGATCCCGCCTTACTAGCCACCGGTTTTTGAAAACAATGACTCCTCTCCCATTTCCCTATCATACCTAATTTTAAAATTATGAATAGTGTTTTGCTTCCAATAACCTGCTCCTTTAGTTCATTCCAATTTACCACTAAAAGAAAAGTTTCTAATATCTCTTATGACTCATCTGAGCTTCTAGCTTCCACCCGTGTCCCCTTGTTCTGTTAGTATCAGTGTCAACATTTCGTCTATTTCCACTGTCAATCCCCCTAAGTATTTTATACGTTCCTATCATATCCCCTCCCTTTCCATTCTTTGTTCTAGTGGCGTCAGGTTCAGTTCCTTCAGGCGCTCTTCATATCCCATCCCTCGTAACTCTGGGACGAGCCTCGTCGCAAACTTCTGAATCTTTTCCAGTTTTCACATGTGTTTCTTCAGGTGTGTGTGTGTGTGTGTGTGTGTGTGTGTGTGTGTGTGTGTGTGTGTGTGTGTGTGTTTACTATTTGTGGCTGCAGAATAGCTATTTTTCCCTCTGTCTACTACATCTATTTCTTAACACACACACACACACACACACACACACACACACACACACACACACACACACACACACACACACACACACACACACACATTATCAACTGTCTAACTCCCAGGTACCTGTATACTGTTAGGTGGACAGAATCATCAGGGTTAAAAAAATTCTGCCCACTTGTTTCTGCCTCGGCCAGGAAGCGAGCCTGGGCCCTTAGGACTACGACCCCCGAGCGCTCTCCACTCAGCCGCGAGGTCCCCCCAGTGTGTGTGTGTGTGTGTGTGTGTGTGTGTGTGTGTGTGTGTGTGTGTATACATGAGCTATTTGTATGACATTAAGTACAATTTACAACTATATACCCATTTTGCAAATTTTAGGTTCAAAGAAGAAAACAAATTGTCCGTAGGCCTAGGTTACAATTTGGGTATGCCTGTTTATTTTGGAATGGCTGATAGTTGTATATTAAGAGCCTAGCCTAACCTAACCTAATCTAACCTAGCCTAATCTAACCTAACCTAAACTAACCTAACCTAAACTAAAGAGTTGAGGTGTTTTTGCAATACGGGACAAAATTTAATGTAGAACGTCATTAGTCATAGCTTCCAATAATCAAATAATGTATTTAATATTAGTTCTTACAGCCGAGGATTTTATAAATTGAATAATAAAATTGACTCGTTTCCAAGTCGAAATATTTCGCGCGTTTGGCGGGCCCACCACCCCTGGCCGCCCACCAGCACGTCTCTGGCGGGCCCACCTCCCCTGGCCGCCCACCAGCACGTCTCTGGCGGGCCCACCACCCCTGGCCGCCCACCAGCACGTCTCTGGCGGGCCCACCACCCCTGGCCGCCCACCAGCACGTCTCTGGCGGGCCCTCCACCCCTGGCCGCCCACCAGCACGTCTCTGGCGGGCCCTCCACCCCTGGCCGCCCACCAGCACGTCTCTGGCGGGCCCTCCACCCCTGGCCACCCACCAGCACGTCTCTGGCGGGCCCTCCACCCCTGGCCGCCCACCAGCACGTCTCTGGCGGGCCCTCCACCCCTGGCCACCCACCAGCACGTCTCTGGCGGGCCCTCCACCCCTGGCCGCCCACCAGCACGTCTCTGGCGGGTCCTCCACCCCTGGCCACCCACCAGCACGTCTCTGGCGGGTCCTCCACCCCTGGCCGCCCACCAGCACGTCTCTGGCGGGCCCTCCACCCCCGGCCGCCCACCAGCACGTCTCTGGCGGGTCCTCCACCCCTGGCCGCCCACCAGCACGTCTAGTGTCCCATACTGAGGTGCTCTTCAACTGCCCCAAGGTTCAACGAGTGACCAACCAATCAGATGCTTCCCCTTGCACCATCAGGGCAGCTTCGACGCTCGTTCCAGTCATATCACACAGTTACTCCATTTCATAATCTTGTATGCGAATGACTAAGTACTCAAAACAGGAATCATTAAATTGCCAACCTGACCCGGCACTGCGGTCAATAGTGGGAGACTCTCACTACATAACTACCTCTATATACAATCTTGATTTAATTGCCATTATTAGAATTTTGTATAATTCTGTATAGTATGAAAAATATGTATTTAACTGTAGGTGTAGCAATAATACAAATGACAGGTGTTCATGGCGCCGTTAATGGTGACTACAGTGTATGAAGCAGTGATGGTGGTGATGGTGTAGACGGTATGGTGGCCGCGGTGACACTGTTCGCGATAATGGTAGTTGATGCAACCCTTTACCACCTCCTGTACCTCCCTGGTTCATCCTCTAGGGTGTAGAACCTCACAACCTCAGAGAGCCTCACTCACAACCTCGAGAAACCTCACGACTTTGAGGAACCAGACTCGCATCCTTTGTACCTCACTCACAGCCTTAATTGAGAAACTTTGCTCAGATCTTGCCTTAGAAACCTTGAGAAACCTCACTTATAACCTTGAGAAACCTCCCTCACAGCCTTGAAGTAGGTTCAAGTAACCTTGAAGTAACCGTTTTGATCTCCGGCAGCTTCGTCAGATCGCAGCCCAAGAGCCCCAGGCGGACGGAGCCTCGCTGGGCACTCAGAGCAGCCAGAGGCAGCGCTCCAGCTTCTTCAGGAGTGCGAGTCGAGGTCAGGTGAGCGAGTCGTCCTCCACCAGATACGACCAGCGCCGCTGCAGCACCGCCACCAACCTCGGCCAACAGGTGAGTACCACTACCGGATCCAGTTGTGGAACCGGTTGTATGGTGGAGTCTGGGGGGGGGGGAAGGCGTGAGTGTATGGGGGTCGGGGTAGCGGATAATCATGTATGTGTCTCCAGAGGGGACGAGGAAGAGGTATGTGTCCGGAGGGCTGAATGGGGAAGGTATATGTAAGGGGGAGGAAAATAGGGTTATGTAGACCATTTATATTGACGCATCTAATCTTGTTTTGCATCTTTTCTGTAGTCTTAAACGCTTGTTTCTTCCTCTTGAGTCTAAAATATCTTGCATTGTTTACTTAAGGGTTCGTGAGCGACACAGTCGCATCAGTGCATCTTAACCTGCTTGTGTAGGAGACGTAATGTACTTTAGATCTTGCACTCAGGCGTACTAACGTGGCTGGCTGTGTGTAACTTGACTGTGTATGTGGGAGTATGCAACGCAAGCTTTATGACTGGTGAGTAGCATTATTAACACCAATCACATTTCTTCCTTTTATCTTATGTCAATTTGTCTCATTTATTCCTCTAGCTGCCACTTCCAAGGAGCTTCAAATCCTCTAACATTAAAAACTTGCCTCAACACCACAACACACTCCACTTCTCCAGTCTTTCCCACAACCTGGAGGATCTCCAACTGTCTCCTTCCTACCACTTGAAGCTTCCCCAGTCAGGTCTCCATCATAGCTACGACTGTGATCTCCACCAGCACCACCCAGAGGAGACCCTCCACCATTACCTGCTACGCCTCCATTTCGAGGGAGCGCTGAAGAAGAGCGCAGAGGAACTCCACTTTGACAATGGTGATCGCATAGACAACTCCGCCGCTGAAGAGAGTCGCACCTTGAACGAGGAGAGATGCGCGAGTTTCGGCACCAGCGTAAGTTGCGACGGGAACATAGATAGGTGCAACAGTCGCGGCGCGAGTATAGAGAGGTGCGCAAGTCGCGGCTCGAGCACAGAGAGCTGCACGAGTCGAAACCACGACCTTCCCTTCCTGACGCAGGGCAGAACGCCTATAATAGTGGTGGACGCGGAGAGGAGGCTTCACGCCAACGGAGCTGATGACTTAGACGACAGCTGCGTCAGACCCAGCTGGAAGAGGCTGGTGGAAAGGATGATAAAGAGGAGTCGGAGAAGGAAGGAGGAAGCAGAGGTTGCGATGAGCCCCACAAGAGTAGGGAACGAGGAAGAATCGAGGCGAGGCAGTACCCTCTCGCACGTTCTTCACCAGGTCAGTCATCAGGTCAGTCTACCTTGGCAACTACCTGGTCTGCTAGACTAGAAACTGCGCCTGCTGGACTGGAAACTCTCTTAAACTGGATCTGTGAGTCAGTAAAGCTTAATAGTCCACAAAAGTAGTGGTGGTGGAAGAAGGGGCTCGCTTTCCAAGACAGTAGGCGCAGCAAGTCGTTTTGTACCGGGTTTCCAGTCCACACGGCAGCTGTTTTGTTAGACTCGCTCTACATTAGCCTTTCCACGTAGCCAGACTCGCAGTATTGCCACACTGTCCAGGAAACAAACCAACTTACATGACTACTGCCAAACGTTATTTTTTTTAGCACAATATATGTAAATAGCAATGTTCAGTGTGTTAAAACCTAGTGTATTTGCACTTCATTTTTACACTTGACAAATTTGCACTATATACATTTTTGGTGTATTGCGAGGGGGACCTCTTAAGCCAGGACGGTGTTGGTCTTGGAGGACCTCTTAAGCCAGGACGGTGTTGGTCTTGGAGGACCTCTTAAGCCAGGACGGTGTTGGTCTTGGAGGACCTCTTAAGCCAGGACGGTGTTGGTCTTGGAGGACCTCTTAAGCCAGGACGGTGTTGGTCTTGGAGGACCATAGCCTTTTAGTCCCGACATTATCGCTAACCTTAGATATTTCTTTGCAAAATTTACTTCTTGGTATAATTTGCGTCGAAATCAATCTCCATTTGTAATTAATATTTCCAGTTATCGGAGAAGTGTTATCGAGATCGCCCCGAGGCCAACTACTTATCTTTCCCCAAGATGCCACCCACAACAGTTGACTAACTCCTGGGGTACCTATTTTACTGCTGGGTGAACAGAGGCATCGCGTGAAAGGAAACTTGTCCAAGCGTTTCTGTCCCGGCCGGGGACTGAACCCGGGTCCCTCGGTTGTCAGTCGAGGACGTGGGTCAATGTGCTACCTTCCCGGATTGATTGATTGACGAAGATTAAGCCATCCAAGAGGTGGCACGGGCATGAATAGCCCGTAATCCTTCCCGGACACACTAGCTCATGATATTAAGCCCCGTCCCTCCCACTCATCAAGCATAAGAGTGACGCCACTAATCCCCGCCCCTTCCACTCATCAAGCATAAGAAGAGTGCCGCCACTAATCCCCGCCCCTCCCACTCATCAAGCATAAGAAGAGTGCCGCCACTAATCCCCGCCCCTCCCACTCATCAAGCATAAGAGAAGTGACGCCTCTAATCCCCGCCCCTCCCACTCATCAAGCATAAGAGGAGTGACGCCACTAATCCCCGCCCCTCCCACTCATCAAGCATAAGAGAAGTGACGCCACTAATCCCCGCCCTCCCACTCATCAAGCATAAGAGGAGTGACGCCACTAATCCCCGCCCCTCCCACTCATCAAGCATAAGAGAAGTGACGCCACTAATCCCCGCCCCTCCCACTCATCAAGCATAAGAGAAGTGACGCCACTAATCCCCGCCCTCCCACTCATCAAGCATAAGAGGAGTGACGCCACTAATCCCCGCCCCTCCCACTCATCAAGCATAAGAGAAGTGACGCCACTAATCCCCGCCCCTATCACAGTAACTAGTCACTCGGGCTTCAGTAGAAGTACATATAATGAATGACCTTAAAATAAGAATTATTTTAATGCAATAGAATGGGATTTGAGAACTAAAATGTCTTCATTAATGAGCACAGTTCGCTAACTGTTTCACTCGGAACGGTCGCAAATGTTCAACAGTTTGTGTATAATATATATATATATATATATATATGTAATATGTGTGTGTGTGTGTGTGTACCTGTGTTGTGTTTATACTCTGCCTCCTGGTTTATCACACACACACACCTCTCACCGTCTCACTTGCTTCGTCCACTAGCAGTACGTGAATGCTTTAAGATCCATTTAAACTTAAATATTAAACTGCATGACGCATATACAAGACCCAGTCTTAGGGTGTTTGTATACGTGGATGAATGTGCTAGTGGCCTTGATTCTCTCGCCGCTGCCGCACCTCACACCGCATGCGGCTCCTGCACCTGCCGCACCTCACGCTGCACCTGCCGCACCTCACGCTGCACCTGCCGCACCTCACGCTGCACCTAGGCCTAGTCATAACCCAACACCAGCAGGCAGCGTCCTCACCTCACCAGGGGCGTGAGGACACCCGTTCTCGCACTTTCGTATAGTCATTGTTGACTTGTTAAATACGTGCATATGTGACATACTTCACATACTAGTTTACCTTGAAAAGCTTATCTTAACATACTAAGAAGGTTAGGTAAGGTCTTTGTTTTCTATGAAGGTTTTCAAGGTAAACTAGTATGTTTAGTATGTCACATATGCACGTATTTAAAAAGTCAATATTGACTGTAAGAAAGTGCGAGAACGGGTTGCGTGAGGACACCCCATCACATGAAGCTTCCGCACTCATTACCAATATCGTATGATTGTTAGTTTCTCTTGCTTGCTTAACACTAAACTTGTTTGACGTGTGTGTGTCGCTCGTGTGTGTGGCTTGCAGCTGAGCGAGTAACAATGTTCACCCCCACCACTACCCTGTGTCTTAACTCCTATATTTTTCACCATCTCTCTTTCAGGCAACCTCCCTTTCCTACAAGTAACCCCCTCTCATTCCTTTAGGAAACGTCCCTCTCTAGGTAACACCCCCCCCCCCACTCTTCATCATCTAAGAATGTCTATTCTTCGCAGGTAACACAGGCCAGTCGAAGGGAGGTGAAGGCTGCCAAGAGCCTTAGCATCATCGTCCTGTTCTTCATGGTGAGTTGGTTCCCCCTCTACACCATCAACTGCGTCCAGGCCTTCTGCAAGCAGTGCGACGTACCCATATTCCTCATGTCCTTCACCATCATCCTCACACACCTCAACTCGGCCATCAACCCCTTCCTCTACGCCTACCATATGAAGGTGATTTTTTGTTGGAGTGGGGAGTGGGGTGTTGCGGAATGATGGAGGTGGGGTTAGTGGTGGGGTGGTGCTGGGGTTATGCTGGTGTTCAGTCATGTTGGGAGTAAGGAGCAATGTAGGCACACACACACACACACACACACACACACACACACACACACACACACACACACACACACACACACCCACCCACCCACCCACCCACCCACCCCTACCTTAGCTCTGTGCCTGTAACTTCAAACTGGTAGCTGCACTCTTTCACCCACACAGAGAAACTGAGAAAGTGCCAAAAATGTGTAGAACATTTTCCCAAGGACCACCGGAGCTGGTATACGAGGACAATGAGAGCACTGTACCTCACAACTTAACAATCAAAGCTAAAGTGGGATCATTACCTAGCATAGCGTGGAGTATAACAAGGAGCATACAGGAGTAAGATGAGAGCACACTCGAATTAGGACGTAGGAGAGTACCTCAGTGTAAGGCCCGTCAGCAGGTGGACTGGACCCAGCTAGATGAGACCATAGTTAAGTTCCAGTGTTAGGGGTTATTGTGCCCCACAAACGATAGCCAGAGGACAGGTCTCTGAAGCAGGAAATAATTTCTTCCAGTCATTGATCCACACTAGTGTAGCAGAAACTAATTATATTTCATATTCCACAGGATTTCCGCAACGCCCTGAAAGCCTTCATCTTGCACCGACTGCTTCGACGGCCGATAGATCCGGATTATGGATATGGCCGCACCTTGGTCTCGGCGAACTACTCCAACATCTACCGGGTCAACCAGGCCGGCTCCACCCACCTGCCAAGCCCACAGCCGCTCCTCGCTTACAACACGCCGCCTCTCCCAGACACACCCTTGGACGAGCTCAGGTCGCGGTCCTCTACAATTGGCAGCTATGGTCCTCTTTCCTCCAATCGTAATTTGTCGCCCTCTTTATCCTTTCCTCCTTCACCAGCCACTGTTATGACCATAGGTGATGGAGTCCAGGAGCTTTCCTCGTGTGCCTCACGCCCTAGGGCTGCGACCATCACCTCCCACACGTCTCCAGCCTCGGCTACAATACCTCTAATCTCCACAGACGAGTCTTCACAGCCGCTGCTCTCGTCGTCTGTGACAATGAATGGCCCACGGCAGCAACCTGAAACAAACGGGGTTCGTCGCGCCTCCACGCTGCCTCCGCTTTCATCACAATCTTCGGATATGACGGCCACCTCTCTCAACATCCTGCCGCACTCTGACCGGGAGAGCAGCTGTGAGGCTAACATTAATCTTACAACGAGTGATACCAGTTCAGCATCAGCTCTCATCTCTGAGACAATCTGCAACGGTGCTCGAGGGGATGTGAGTGATGCGGTGATACCAGAAGCAACCACCACAACATCGTTGCAGACAACTAGCTCTAACTGTTCGAGTCTGGCTTCAAGACACAAGATAGACCAGAAGGAAAATGTCCAGTCTTCAGAGCCATGGTGTGGCGGCGGTGATGGTGCTGCCCGCTCCTCCATGTACTCTTCTCACACCTGCAGCTCTACCCTCTCCAGCAGTGACACATACAGTGGCAGCTTGGCAAAAGAAGCATTGTTAATTCCTCCGTGCAAAGAACAGTTGAATACGTCCACTTCAAATGAGACATTACTAGCGTGCCGTGCATTTGACGGAACCAGTATTTCTAACCAAAGTATTCCAATATGTGGAAGCAATGAAGAAAGTGTAGGGATGGTGGAGTCGCCCGAGCTATTTACACAACAAGAGGGAGCAGCTCAAACACAAATCAGGGAAGTGGCTCTGGCAGACGACCACGTTGTCCTCATTAACCAGACCTCCCTCCCAATCCCTAATGGGAGTGCTTGTAATTTTTCAGCTAGACCAGTGGATGGGGACAACTGTACATCACAGAGTGACGATAACTCGTCAGGATGCGATGCTTCCACTCTACCTTGTTTAGGGTCGAGCACGGAGGAGCAGAGGGCGAAGACGTGCCGAGAGGAGGACCCCAGTTGCCGGGCGGCTGCCGGCTGGACCACAGAACAGTCGCGCGTGTCTAAGGAACTCAGTAAATATCTCCCGAAAATATTAAGGAGAGAAAGTGGACTCAGGAGTAAAAATTCAAGAAAAAACAAGAGTTGGTGGACAGAGTTGATGAGGCAGAGATCTTACCACGGCATCTCCTTGGAATTAAAAAGTTCAAAGCACGTGGATCGGGCGCAGAGCATCAGTGGTGCCATAGAAACTTAGTAGCCCCGTGTTTGATATACTTAATGTGTGTTTCACCAATATATGTTCTTTGTATCTTCAGGAAGTACGACCGTCAGCACTAACCCACCACGTCATTTTGATAAGTGCACTGTTTGCATCGAAATCTGGTTCTATTTGAATTTTGACAATATTCAGATTATCTTATCCAAACAACTCATATTATGCTCACTTATTCAAGCCACTCATTTGACCTGCTTATTCACTAACCCATCCGTCGGCTCATCCTCAGAACTTTGACTGAACTTTGTGTAAACAAAACTTCGTTCACTCCCTGTGTTCCAAGCACCTCTCTAAATGCTTCACCCTTGTACGGTAAATACAATTAATATAACCTACTATACTAAGCTTTACTATACATAAAACTATAATATATATAACAATGTTAATTTAAATGGGAATATATTTTTTGATTACATACTACAGGAAAATTTACGAAGGTGCCTTTGGGGATGGCCACAAATATAGTGTAGTAAAGCAATATTTATTCAATGTTTATTATTATTAATTGCATGTTTAGTATTATTTACATAGGCCTAGTCAGGTTAGGGTAGATAATTTGGTTGTATTGGTAATTATTTGTGTCTAAGAGTACATGGGTGAAGCATTAGAGACGTATACGTTAAACATAGAAAACTTGGAGCATAATCATTTGAGTCATCGTGTAAAATGCTCTTCATTCGCAGAGATAATGATGAGCTTTTTGGCCAATATTTTGAAGGCCATTGATAACCTGTTCTCAGGCTTGGCTCGTTAAAGCAGCGTCATTCCCCAAAGACATTCATAATTTTTAAGGTAATGAATGTTTAAAACAGGTTCTGATATATATATTAATTAATATTATATGAAAGTTCTATGTAAAGCAACCCGTTTTCAGACCAAGTCCATTCCAAACAGCAGTTGACCCCAAAGACGCATTCATCAATTTTAACATGTTGTTAATTCAAAACAGAATTTTTCTCAAATATAAATTAGTATTATTATATATTAGCATATTGTGCATATATAGGTTAGGTGTTTAGGTTCTGTTGGCGATTATTTGTCTTTGTAGTACGTGGGTGAAGCATTTACAGCGTTGTAGTCCGAACAAAATTCGTCAGTGAAGCACTTGTTCCGGAAGTGTTCGGACGTCATCAGTTGTGAGTCGTGTGTAAACCGTTTTTCAGTCATAAACAGGGGGGTTGGCGGGTGGATGGAATGGACTTTAGCCTCTGTTTATGAGGACGGGCTGATACATAAGACCGTCCTCATACACAAAGGCCAAAGTCCATTCCATGCACCTGCCAACCCCCCCAGTTTATGCAACCTGTCCTACAAAGAACGTTGCTTCTCACTCGTTAAACATAGAAGCATGGCCAATTACATAATGCCAAAAATGTTCGTACTAGGAAATGGAAGCGGCTCGCAAAAATGACGAACTGTTCCGTTTTCTGTTTTGAGTCCTCTGGTAGGTTAGGAGAGGACACTTTAAATTGACCGTTTTCTTGTGGTTGGGAAACCTTAGGAGGACGGGCTGGTGTATGAATGAAAAACGGTTTACACACGACTCACAACTGATGACGTCCGAACACTTCCGGAACAAGTGCTTCACTGACGACTTTTGTTCGAACCACAATGCTGTAAATGCTTCACCCACGTACTACAAATACAAATAATCGTCAACAGAACCTAAACACCAAAACTAACCTAACCAATGGCTAAATATGCACAGTATGCTAATAGAAAATTATATTAATTTATATTTGAGAAAATTCCTATTTTGAATGAACAGCATATTAAAGATGATGAATGCGTCTTTGGGGTAGACCGCTGGATGGAATGGACTTGGTCTGAGGACGGGTTGGATGTATAGTTAAGCATAGGTTAGGTTAGGTGTTTATAGGTTCTGTTGGCGATTATTTTCATTTGGAGTACGTAGGTGAAGTACGTATTCGGACACGGGTCGTCAGCTAAGCACTGTTCGAAAAATGTTCGAACATCATCAGTTTTGAAGTGTAAAGCATTTTTCATTCATAAACAAGGGCTTGGCGGCTTTACTAACGAGCATTTGGTCTTTGTTGATGAGGACGAGCTGCACATTCACCGCATTCATTCGAACCACTCATTAATTCCATTTCATGCAGGTCGGCGTTCAATCCCCCGACTGTCCAAGTGGTTAGGTACCATTCCTTCCCCCCCCCCCAACCCCCCCCGTCCCATCCCAAATCCTTAACCTGATCAATTCCAAGTGCTGTATAGTCGTAATGGCTTGGCGCTTTCCCCTAATAATTCCCTTCCCTTCATTCGAACCAATCATTCACACCATTCACTCGAACTGTTCATTATCAGTAATAATTGTTTAAACAATATACAGTGACACTGCACAATCGCAAAGTGTTCACGTGGTGGATGTGCTCATGGGAATACATTTTTGTGTCATTTGTAAACTTTAAAAGTATTTTCTTCAAAGTGATAAATGTAATTGAACCTGGAGCTTAATATGAGACTGTACTTGGCTACGGTATCAGTGTGACTGTTACTGCTAGTGTCGTCACCAGTGTGACTGTCACTGCTGGTGTCATCACCAGTGTGACTGTCACTAGTAACTAGCTAATTTCATCATTGTGAGTCTTGACCAGTTATCTGCGAGGTCCTTCCGTTCAACATTTACCCTGTTGCCCAAACGGGTGATGAACACTCAGCTGCTAACCTCAGTGGAAATCAAACTGCTGTATTAAAATGTCTTCTTTATGCCTTATAGTTAGGGAGAAAACGGATGCAAGAATTCAGAGAAAATGTGATTAAGATAATTATGAGCCGTGGCTAGCAGTTGTTACACACACACACACACACACACACACACACACACACACACACACACACACACACACACACACACACACACACACACACACACACACACACAGTCTCTTACCTGCGCTGTATTTCACTCATCCAGCAGGTTGTATAGATATGTTGACTTTGATCCTGTTAGCTTGCATGGACAAAGTAACTTCACGGTAACATCATTATGTTTATACTTTATACATAATTTCCCCCCTTTTTATCCAGTACGAAAGTTCAAGTATATATTTGTATGTTTCTGCACTTCAGTATTTCAAACTACATTGATGTGTTGAAATATTGAGTATGTCTCAGAATATTATTTCACGTTTTCTTCCCTCTCTTGCACTCTGGTTTATACCTGGTTTATGGGGTTCTGGGAGTTCTTCTAGTCCCCAAGCCCGGCTCGGGGCCCGGCTCGGGGCCCGGCTCGGGGCCAGGCTCGGGGCCAGGCTCGGGGCCAGGCTCGGGGCCAGGCTCGGGGCCAGGCTCGGGGCCAGGCTCGGGGCCCGGCTCGGGGCCCGGCTCGGGGCCCGGCTCGACGCCCGGCTCGACTTGTGAGAGTCGACTAGAGAACTCTCTAGTCCTGGTCCACTTGTTTGCCTCATGACACCATTTAACTGCTTTTTAGAATCTTTAATTAATTTCCCATTTCTTACTAACCACACCCAGGTGTGTGTGTGTGTGTGTGTGTGTGTGTGTGTGTGTGTGTGTGTGTGTGTGTGTGTGTGTGTGTGTGTGTGTGTGTCATATTTCTGAGGATTCTCGTATGTTTTGGGACAAAACACGAGACAGAAACGCCCTTAACACACCAATACAAACTTGCCAATTTCCTAAACTTTCTTGAAGTAAAGCCTTAAGCCCCAGGAATCTTCAATGTGTTTGTCTTATATCGCTTCATCTATGAAACACTTGATAACAAAACAAAACAAAAATTGTATTTATCTGTGATCTAGTTAAGTCCAGGTTCCTGAGCTTTCCTTAAATATTTGTGGAGAGCTGTTTTACTTGGGGGAGGAAACTCTCCTATCTTGACCGGTGTCCAGTATTTTATACATACTTAAAACACAGTCCCATATGCCATTGCTCAACCCGTTCTCGCACTCTTATAGTCAATATTGACTTATTAAATACGTGCATATGTCACATACTAATTTATTGTGAATATTTTAGTTTACTTTGAAAAGCTTCATAGAAAACACCGACCTTACCTAACCTTCTTAGTATGTTAAGATAAGCATCTTATTGCTTCGTAATTACAATTATTACTTAACCTATTATAGGTATTGGTTAAGTAATAAGATGCTTATCTTAACATACTAAGAAGGTTAGGTAAGGTCGGTGTTTTCTATGAAGCTTTTCAAGGTAAACTAAAATATTCACAATAAATTAGTATGTCACATATGCACTTATTAAATAAGTCAACATTGACTAATAGAAAGTGCTAGAACGGGTTGCATTGCTAATCATGAAACGTTGTCTACCTTAGCATACACTTCCGTTTTCTGAATGTATATAACATGTGTATCCACCTTTAACATGGTGGATACACCATGTTAAGGTGGATACACCTTAACATATATAACAATACACCTTAGGTGTATCCATCTTAGGTGGATACACCTAAGTTAAGGTGTCTTCTCTACACGTAACGCGCCGCCTCTCACGTTTTCTCCCACGGTGTAAAAAACACACACCGTGTTCGTGTCTGTATATTCTTTGTTTTAGGATAAATGCAACATAATCAGTACTTTGTCAATCATTGTGTAATGCTTTTTTTGTGTTAAGACAGTTTATGATTAATTTGCATTATTTTCTTGGGTCAGTGAAAATAATGTGCCAGTATTTTACTAGTCAGGCTCCAAAATGGCAACTTTGTGTGGACAGTCATTATTATCTATATTTATGGCAACAGTGTGTGTGTGTGCGAGAGATGGTCAATCTACAGTACATATGTAGAGAGAGTGCATGGAACGTCAATTAACCCTATGTGAAGCAACAATTTGTGTGTGAGAAGCAACATGTTAGATTGTAAGTGGATAGGGTCTTTAAGTGCTTTGATAAGTATACTTACTGACAGGTTCTAAATGTTCAACGAACTGTACTCGCCTAGTTGTGCTTGGAGGGAGGTTGAGCTTCGGATCTGTGGTCAGTGGAATGGCACTGTAGATGTGTCAGGGAGTGACACATGTGTGTGCGCGTGTGCTCGTCAGTATTGTGGACACGTGTGAGCATGCGCACATGAACAATGTTCACCGGTGTCAAGTGTGTACATTGCACATCAATGTTGATGACAAGCGTGTTCACGCACATTGACAGTGTCCATAAGTGTGTGTGTGTGTTGGCAGTGTTAAGTGTGTGTGATAACACGTACACGATAATGTTGACACGTGTGCGCGCGTGCGCAGGCATATAATGTTAAGAGGGGCGCATGCGCGCGTTGACATACTTTGTTGTGACAAGGATCAAAAGTTGTGTTACACTGGGCGCTTCTGCCCCCCCCCCCCCCCCCCCCCCCTCGGTGTCCAGGGTGGTCATATTATGTACTATTATATAAATGTTGTACACATAATGTTTAACATACACACACACGTATATACATATAAGTATTGTATTAAATTACTCAAAATTACAAAAGCTGTACCGTACAGTGCAAATGTCTAAATAAGCAAAATTGGGAACCTCAAAATAACTTTCAAGTTAGCACTAAAAATAATAGAGATGAGAACAGAGCGAGATGTGTCAAGTTGAAGACCTTAGCAAAATGTATAGTTTAGAGTACCTGAAGGTTTCCTCCTTATTGAAATTCTAAGTCGGAAGCTTGGATCTGTTTACGGCAAGGAGACTTATATAGTTTTAGGAATGCCTGTATTTGCATTTAGTGTAAGACAGGAGACTGTGGAGGTGTAGTGTTGGAGAGGACATTGTGGTGAACAGTGTAGGAGAGGACATTGTGGTGAACAGTGTAGGAGAGGACATTGTGGTGAACAGTGTAGGAGAGGACACTGGAGGTGTACAGGGCAGGATAGGACACTATGAAGTTGTACAGTAAAGGACAGGAGAGTCTAGGTGTGCAATGTAGGATAGGAAATTTAATGTACAATATTATATCTACTTCCAGGTCTTCTAAGGCAGCAGTCTATCTTCTCTTCATTCTGAAAATACACATAC